CCATCAAGACGCCTGCCATTTGATATAAATAAATATTCAGAAATTAAATTATTGCAGATTAAGGATATTAAATGAGAGAGGGAGAGAGAGAGCTTACTGCTTATGGCTGCAATCCCTAGATCGATGTTGGTTCGCTTTGCTTTGATTTTGGATGGAAGAAGGTTGAAGGGGCGGCAAGTGGTTGTATCGAATCATCTTCGGCTGCTTAAACAAGGAGGACTTAGTGAGACCACTAAGCAATTCACGATCCAGAACATCCGCCATATTAACTTTACAGATAGGCTTAAGCTGACGATTGCTGTTCACAGTTCTAGCATGAAGAAGAGCCTTTACCGAATCGTGATTATCTCCAAAAGATTTCTTCTATAAGAAGGAAAAAACGTTCAAAAAATGTATGTATATGTATAGAGAGAGGGAGCTGGAAAGAAGTCTAGTCGTACCGTACTCACTCGTTTATCTAGTCTGTGAGCTCTTTGACGACTGGAGAGGCGAGAGTACGTCGGGAATCCTCCTTGACTATTTTCTTTAGCTTTAGGTTTTAAGCCACGAGGGCTCGGTTCATTATTTGTTTTGAACTCCCGCATATTGTAAAGACTTGTAGAGAGATTGTGATCATTAGTAAGATTGATTTCCTTAGGTGACTTTGGGGTCTCGTTCAAATTCTGATGGGTAGTGATGTCATTGGTAATAGGATTTGAAGAAGATGCTGCATTAATAAAATCTTCAGTCTTCCTATCATTCCGGAGGTTGTCAGGAAGACCACACTCATTAGAAATGTTGAGAGAAAAAGATGAATTTTGACTCGCGTCTAAATTCTCATGGGTGATGTTAGTTAAAATAGGTTTCAGAGAGGGTAAAGAGAGATGGCTGTCTACAATTTGAAAAAAATAAGTACATTTATAATAATTAAACTCCACTTAAATGTTCTTCAGGGAGATAGGTTAGACAAAAAACTGATTTAAGATTGCATCAGTAAAAGGTACATAAATTTAGCTATTTGTGCAAAAACCATAGTCAGCAAAGATGGAGACAAAGTGTAAAATAATCGATCAACATAACTTTGGTTTTTCTTAATGGGCATGATCCATTTCTTTTACACCTAGTTGAAATTTTGGAAACTAGAGGCCTCCTGGCCAATCAATGACCAAAGCCATGACAACTAATCAATGGCCCAAGTCATTACGTGGTTATCATGTCGAAAGTTGTTTATAATGACTAAGTTCCCCGTCTGTAATTGGACATTCCCAAATAAATGTGTTTCACGTCATAAGTCTGTTTCCTCTCTAGTTTCGCGGTAGCTTAGCTAATCCAGGGAGCCTTTCCAAACATAGAAGAATCTGCCATAGAGATTTCTGAGTATAGTTAAGGCTCGTTAGTGACGCAATCCGCTACAAAGCTGAATTAGATGGTTGATAAAAAGCAACTTAAAAACTTAATTTTGATCACTCAATCGCCTCGAAATAAAGCTTCAACCGAACAAAATCATATCAGATATGAAGCAATGGGAATTAGGGCGATTTACCACAACTGCAGCAACAACATAGATCTTTTGGTTTCTATTTCACATTCCTTTCCACCCAGTTGTATCATGACTTTAACACAATCATTCGATCAAATAGATAAAACAAAAACAAATTAGACAGCTTAGGCACTCAGCAGTCTAACGCCATTTTATTAATGCGAAAATGAAATTATTTAGTATCATGATGAAAGCGCCTAGCACAGGCCTTTACTCGTCCTTATGTTAACAAGCATTTAAAAATACAAATTGAGAAGAACAGTTTGCTGAAGAAGTAGTCAGTAAATCCAATCTATTTTTATTAAAAAAATTGAAAACTTTTAGTATTTGAGCAGTTAAGATATAAAGCGAAAGTTCGAATAAAAACGAATGACATTACGACTTTTATTTTCCTCCGCATCCTTTTTTACTTTGTCACCGACAGAATTATCCGAAATGGACGAGGAAGTATTTCCTGTCTCGCTATTTGATGAACCCACCACAGTCAAATCCTGAATACTCATGAATTTACTTCGTAAGGCCTTGTAAATAAAGAAAAAAGTTTCATAATTACTACTGATGAAAAGTAAGTAACGGTTCTAAGAAGCATTGAGTTAACAAACCACTGGGCCTACTATCATACAACGATGCGAATCGTAATTCACAAAATGCGAAATGACTGTGCAACACATATTATTAACGTAGTACTTAATTCAAAATAAAGTGAATATGAAAAACGGCTGATTTGTAGTAAAAAAGGCTACTGAAATAACATTCTCAACAAATATACACATATCGAAAATACACCCGGTAAGTGAAAATCCATTCTCGAAGATGGCTAAGAGATTACCTCTGTGCTCAAAAATGGCCGCCTAACATCCTGCGTGATACATGCGTCCAATTGAGGGAAGCGGTAGGGAGCAGAATTTAGTCTAATTGTAATTGTTATTCACTTCCCTGAGAATTCATTAACGTAATAGTCACTGACTTTTGGACAATTATTGATCCTGTTCGCAATTAGAAGAAAGTACAGTGGCATACACTTCTGAGCAATAAAGCAAAATGTATACAAGTTTTTCACCCTGAGAACGGCTTTTAACTGGCTGGGTAAGAAATCTAGCTCAATCTCTTTAAGGCCTCCAGAATGCAAGAGCATCGGCAAAAGTACTGTTCAAAAATATTATGCACAATTTAGCAAATCGCCAAGTGGAATATATTTGTTCTGGAAAAGTAATATGCAGCTTTCATTAATGGGAAAGCCTTGGAAGTGATAACTATATATTTTTTAAGAACACTCCGATTTCGATTAAATAAATGGTAAAATAACTTGAATACAAAATGATTAAAGAAAAAGTTATTCGCATTACAACCAAACTGCAAAGAAGACGAAGAAGGGAACAAAGATACTAATTCAAAACAGGTAAGAACCACCTCCGTCGTAAAGTTAGACGAGTAATTGCACAAAAATATCAGTGACAGACAAATAGAAATCCACTAATTTGTTAAAAACAAAAGCGTTAGTAGTTGTATCAACTGAAATCTGATTTGCTAACTGAACTACCAATATTTAAGTTGCATTGAAATCAAACTTACAGCCCGAGCAGTTGGTCGTTTCTTTGGATTCCAGGCGATTAACTCGTTGATCAAATGCAGAGCTGGTGCACTGACATTGGGAATAACATCACAGAGCGGAGCAGGTTTGCATATTGGAAACTTAAAGTTCATTGCACTTGCCAGCTTATACCCTTCGGGCCAGTCTTGCTGAAAACGTAAGCAAAATGAATTTGGTACTGTAATCGAATTAGCAATAACAGAGCAAAAAGAGCACATATAGAGTACTTGAGATGGAGTGCCTAAGACACCAGTGATTTTAAATAGCATGTCAATTTCTGTTTGTCCAGGAAAGAGGGGTCGAAGAGTGAATAGTTCCGCCATCATGCAACCAAGGGCAAACAAATCCACTGGGGAATTGTAGTTGACTGATCTTAAAAGAATTTCTGGCGCTCGGTACCATCGAGTTGAGACGTAATCAGTAAAAGGAGGCTGAGCACGAATTTCACGGACTAAACCGAAATCTGCTAACTTAACGGAGCCAAAACCAGAACAAAGCACATTTTCGGGTTTAAGATCACGGTGGAAGAAACCTGTGAAGGAAAATTAGACAAATGAACATAACAGATTGTTCAGTTACCCTTCTGGTGCATATAGGCTAGGCCAGACAAAATTTGGCGAGTGATTTTGCGAACAGAATGCTCGGAAAGCAGCTTCGTCCTGAATAGGTAATATATCATAATAATCAAAATAGAAATAAATAAAATAAGTGGATATATATATATTTATAATTTGACACAATTGGGAACCTGCGCTTCATCATTTCATATAAATTTTCATTCATGTATTCAAAAACAAAGAACAGTTCATTCTTTTCGCGAAGGACTTCTTTTAATTTTATTATGCAAGGATGGTTAAGGCGTTTCAAAGCCTATTAAAAGATAATAATCATGCAGATTTGAAAAAAACAAATAGAACTAGGTTAATGCACAAATTTAGATAAAAAGAAAATAGACAAAAAAATATTTTCGACAAAACTGATAACAACCTTCAATTCCCGAAGGTTTAAACACTCAGACCACGAATAATATTTCTTTTTCATTCTAAAACATTTACTAAGATTAAAAAATTACTTTTTAATTGCAAATTTCTCTTGGGTGTCAACCGAAATTGCCAATAGTACCGAGCCATACGTACCATCTCCTATCTGCTGGCACACATTATACTGATTCATTTTGTCTATCTGTACGCTTTCATTGCAAAATTAACGAGAAACCAACTGATACGCTCAATCTTACAAATTTGGCGCTAAGGTCATTCAAGCTGTTTTTACTGGCAACATCTATTAAAATATAATATAAATTACCACATATTTCCTAAATAATTTCTCCCCTTAAAAATTTACTCTAATAGCGGTATTTGTTAAGCTTTGAATCAATTTCCTAAGACCCATTTATAATACTTAATTGAAGAAAAACAAAGTTGATTTTGTTCACATGCCTGAACAAATTTTTATCCATATTAAGCCATCTTCATTTTTTACTTTCGAGAATAAACACATATCTGGATGCTGTTCTCTAAAGAGATATTTTTTATGGTTAAATTAATGACTAATGCAGACCCGCTGTAAGGAACTGCCAATTACCAGGCAAGAATTTCTTCATTTCATATACTTCAGAAATACCAAGCTTTTATTAGCACAGTATCTGGAGGAAGCACAATAGAGATGAACAGAAGACGGACACGTTGCGCTAAGGGTACAACCAGAAAGAGTTAATCTGGCGCAACCAAAATTGGAGAGCCATACAACAAGGACCGACAACCCACTTGTGAAATAGCTGCTCATTATAACTGGAAGCAAGTTTGTGTATTTGGTGTGGGTGAAATACTCAATCTAGCTTTTATAGTCAGCAGTAGATTCATAATAACACGAAAAAGGAGGACAGAAAGAAGAGTTTGAAATGTAGAAACAGAATAGAGAGAGAGAGCATTTCAGAGGGGAAAAGGGTTGTACTCAAATTCGCATGGGGTAGATTTTGTTCAAGAAGTGTCCATTTTCTCGCTTCCATCATCCTTTTTCTTTGAATCGTCAGCAGAACCAGCATCGTCTTTCTTTTGATAGCTTGATGAACCCTCTGTTGACTTCCTTTCACCAAACGAATTCTCCATGGCTGACGCGAATGATTCAAGATCTAAAACCACGAGAAGTGAAAAGTAAACCTTTAGCATATCAGCGACGCGTCGAACAATATAAATGTCTAATGGATGTGATTCCCGACGACGACGATAAAGTTTTTCGTTAATGGACTTGAGGTTTTAAAGTAATATGACGAAAAAGATAACTATTAGTTTAATTGCCTTGATCAGGATAAAACAAGAGATAAATATAGACTACTAGTTTGGCCAATTCCTAGCTTTTATACAGTAGACAGACCCCTTATAAGAATTTATTCGATGGATAGAAAGATAAATATTGTGATTTCTCCTAATTAAATAGGTTTTATTTTGTCAAACCTGTGTAAAATCTTAAGGCAATATGAATACCACTTATGCCGACCCAAACTCCATCGCAAGAATAACAGAATTGAACCAAACGAGTAAATTAACTTTAGCGAACGAGACATTGATCTTTATTATATACAATTCTTATATTCAAGTAAAAGTATTCGCCTACTCGAAACTGTCTATGAGGACTTTGCCAAACTACTCCACCACTGTATACCTACCGAATATACATGCCTAATCTTGCCCCTTTCCACGCTTTTACTCGGAAATTGATAATATATATGACAATTTAGTTATAAGAAGCAAGTGAAAAACAATGTTGTTTAATTTGAGTAGTGAGACTAAAACACCTCTCTTTATAAAGGATTTCCTCAACAAGGAATATAAAAGAAAATCGAAAGAAAAATCAAAGCAAAAAACTCTCATGCTCACCACCAGTACTCGAAGATTTGACTACCTCTTCGTCAAGTCCAAATTGAGAGAGTGCTGGTCCCAGCTGGCCAGATTCAAAGGCTTCGGAAAAATTCTACAAAATATAAAAATGAATAATTGCTCAATCAATTACAGAAAGGTGTATTTCATCTCTAATTGAAAAAGCATAGTCTCAATGAAGACGCTTTTCTGCTGTTCAGTAATAAGTGACGGTGTTAATTATTCCAGATTTAAAGAGATGAATTCGATTTCGTGAACCCTGCTTTATCTAGTATGTGCGTGGGTAGTTACGGCAAAGGATATATTCAAGGTGATAAAGTGAATCAATTCATCGCCTAACTAGTAGATGATAGGTGTTTCATAGGGTGTTTTCAAAACTACAAGAGTATTAAGGGAGGAAACGAGTTCATACATATTTTTCAAAGACTTCCAAGTAACTAAGTGTCACCAATTATCCAAAGATAAAGCAACATAGAAGCAGATTTCCGAAATTTTACTTTTCGCGAAGAAAATCTTGAATTTCAATATTCCTTTCAAAATAAGCAACACTAATAGCAGCAATACAGTCAATTAACCAGGCATTTAAGTCAAATAAAAGCGGATTTTGAGCACTCACTTTGAGAGCGGACTGAAACTGAGGCGCATGGAGATTAGTTATAACAGCCTGGGTGGGAGTGGGCTGTAGATCGTCAGGGTCAACTGGCGGAAGGTGGGCAGCAAGGCGTTCGGCAACTTCGGGCTTTTTCTCCATTATTCCTGAGAGAGCCTTCACGTCGACGCCAAGCGTCAGGTCCACATTCTTGCTCGCTTCTGAAAAAAGGACGATAAACCCATTGTTAATACATTTCAACAGGTCAATAGTGACCCTTTTATTTATATACTCCACACCACAGAATTTTATGTTGCCGACAATTGTGGAATTACTTTACGACTTGACATACAGTTCAGTTACCTGTCCACTTTGTTATTACCGGCTATCTCCTGAAACACAAACACTATTCATTATCTAACTAACTAATCTATTTACTCTCCCCAACCATCCTCCAATCTGGAGTGTGGCTCTGAGATGGAGATCAAACCAATCGAAAAATCAGGGTTAACAAATGCGGCATCAGGATATCTCACTTAAATTATGGAAAGTGAGAGTAACATGAAAGGAAGACTACTTCAATACCGTGGATATGTGTGGCTGAACGTAGAATGAAACAGAAACGAATTATACTAAATGGTAAAGCGGAAGTGAACAGAGCAACGGAACTGATAATTTGCCATTAAACACAAATAACTGAAGGGCGTCATTGTTGCTACACATGGAAATGCCAAAACTGTTTATAACTTTAAATCACCAAAGAAGACTTCAATAAAAGAGAAAAGCTTCACAAGGGGAGGAGGAAAAGGAGATGTAGAAAAGTTACAGTCTGAGAATCGAAAGGACAATCGCTCCATTTCACTTTTAAACGCAACAAGCTGTCAACGCTTAGCTAAATGGGGGGAAAATGTGGTTCCAAAATTTAGGATTCTCGTAATCACATCCATTTTACATATGAGCAATTCTTTTCCTTTCCCCTCGGTTGCCCTTTGTTAGAGCCACAACTTTTCAGACTCAACGAAGGAGTATCACAGCTCAAAATACCGTTTCCTATTAACTAAATTAATTTACTTATACAGGCCTTGTTTGCCAATAATTGCAGCGACAGTTTCACCAGAGGATGGCTTTCATAACCAGATGTGAGCGTGTGAATTAAATTTCTTAAGTCAATAGTGAAAGCCTTTTTATTCTCATTAACGTCGCACTTGCGGAGAAAGAGTAGAAAATACAGCAACTTGGATAAAAAATATTTCGCTAGACATTAAATATTTTGAATATCAGTTCATATCAGCTTAAAGGAGATGGGAGTGATGCAATCACACATTTTTTAATCGTGAGGAATTTGAAGTTTAAAATGCGCCAATGAAATTATGAGTGAATATCAAATCAAATCTTTCAAAATATAGCATTGCAAGCAAATGTATCAAAATGAACACCTGGAATACCCTGAAAAAATTATGGTATTAGGAGAAGCCAATTAGAACTCGAATTGAAGTGAAATTTCACATTTCGAAAACGATTTTCACGGACTATCTCCATGACCTCCAGTAAATGAAACAATTAAAACACTGGAATATTATTTCAAAATTGTATTTTAATATAAAATTTAACAGACTACCCTGTTGGTCAAGTGGATTAAAAATGAAAATTTTGACAGTATATTTTATGTTATCCTTCAGCAAAAGACAAAACCAGTTGTAGGAAATGGTTGTATGGTCATCAGCTGCGTGGAAGGTAATTGAATCTTGCAATGACGACATTCGGCATTGAAGCCACAATGAGAAAAAAAGGCAACCCATTCACCATTCACTAGGACATTTAGCAGACAATAGGCTGATTATAATTATTATTATATTCGATAATGGGTATAAGCTGCAGGGAAGGGTGGTGATGTTTAAATTAAACCAAATAGTGATTAAACACGTGAAGTTTAAACCGAGATGATTCTGTTACAACGGGTAATCATAATTACGTTTTTTCACAGTTTTGTAGCTTTTCATAATACCATAGTAAGATTCATTATGAAGATACAAGATAAAGTAAAATAGCTCGCCAGAAGGCAATCTAAAAATGATTCTTATAAAACAGAACATAGATAGCATAAATTAAAAGCCTAACTAAAGAAAATCAACAGTCTTTCTCCCACTGTCAGCAACTTTTCAGAGATGCATCGCGATAGATTTAAAAACAAAGATTCTCTACTTTTGCACAATCATCCATCAATCCAAATTCTACTTCTTTAGATTCTGGGACCAAGCTAAATCCACCAACAATGAAAATGTGAAAACGTCAAAGGGGAATACACATAAGCTTACCTTGGGGAAGAAAAATTTTAAGCGCAGTTAGGCACCTGTCAATTCGCAATAATCAGCAGTCAAAATAGAGTAAAGCATTCAAAGGTTTTAAACAAACATAATGTGAAAGATCATCAAATCATGCATATATTAAATGCCCTAATATTTCATGCTAATCACCGATTTTCAGCCTTAATTTCAAATTAATTCATTTCTCGTCGTTTTACTTTAAAGATGGAAATTTTACTATTTAATTAGAACTGCAGAATCAGACTTATTTGATACCTTAGAAAATCTACAAGCCAACGTCCTAACCTAAACCCACGTGCAAATCCAACTTTCAATTTAAGTTGATTCTAGTCCTAAAATACTTAAACAAAGTTAGCAATTTCAAACTAAGAGGTTTAATAAAAATGGAAGGTCAGTTGTGTTCTTACCTCCCCCCCCCCCCCCCCCAAAAAANTTTTTTCCCCCCCCCCCCCCCCCCCTAAGAAGACGCTATTGCTGGTTTTATAGCCATATTCAAGTTAAGATGCTTTCAGTTCACTGTGAGTTCGGACATAAAGCAATTTTCTCAATACAAAATAGATGAATCCGACACTTTAAGCTAACAGAGCTCACCTCACACAAACTAGATAGCAAAATCTCCACCAATTTAACTCCAAGAGTAAAATGACATTTATACCAACAAACTTAATGCTATAAAAAATATACAAACTAAAAAATGTATTATCAAATACTTAGAAAGTACGAAAGTCCGGTGATATGCACAAAATAGTAATGTGACTCATTAGATGAGTTTCTGGTTGAACTAGTTTGAAGTGATCAACAGCTACAGAGCCGTATTACTAACAGAATTCGTTCATGCTTATCCGAGAAACGGTCTGCTGTTTTCTATGTACTTATAACTGCTGAAGCATAAACATATTCAGCCTGATAAAACAGGTGCTTGATATAGGTTTTGATAAGACCTATTAACACTTCACCAAATATGCATGTACCAATTCTTGGTGATATCTTAACATGGCAGGTTCATAACTCAAAGGCTATACATCTACCATTTCAACCAACAACAGTCGACGATTAACGTTGCAATTGCAGTGTCCACATATAAACCGAATATCCCCTAACCTTAAGAATAGATGTCCACCCCCCCCCCCCCCCCATCTCTTCAGAGACTTATCTTTGGGTTAATTAAGTAATTTACTAAAATACATGAGGACAGTTCGAATGAATGATGATAATGAACCTACGGTCAGGAGTTCGGATGTTCGAGAGAATGGAATGCAGGTCTTGAAGGCAGAGTTTCTATAAGGATGAGGAGAAAGAATGAACATGAGCAAAAAATGGTCGAGGAAATGAAATAGACACTAGAAAAGTCAACTCACTGGTCGCTTGTCCGAAGGGGCAGAAGAAGCATTAGCAATTGAGGTAGGAACAGAGGTAGAAGAGGCAGTATGCCCTGCTGGAGTTTCAACGCGACTGGACGCTGCCACACGACTAGTTGGAACTGGCAGTGATTGCGCTGAACTACTGAAAAGAGATCCAGGACAAAATGACATTATTTCAGTGGGTGCATTCGAGTGCTTACAGGCGCTATTCGTTGCAGGGTAAAGGAGTTCATTAGGTATGAATAAGGGTAAGGATATTAATTAGCAACTTAGAGTAGGTGAACGTGTCGGTTGAGAGACTAATTTTCAAGAGGGCATCATTGATTAAACATGGGATAAATAAGTTAATCTAATGGTCCAAAGATTAACCTGAGTATATTCATTCCAACATTGTATAAGATTCGCAGGATATGGCAATGAAACATAAAAGTGAAAATCAAGCGAATCGATCAAGAGGAAGGATCAAATGGAAGTCACTCAATTTAAGGGGTTAAAAAGCCTTTCTAGTCATGAAATGATGTTCGAAAGAACTACAACTAAAATAATAATGGAATATCGGAAAATATAATGGAAATCATTATTGAAAGAGTAAAAGAAGCATTTTAATTAAAACGAAAACTCGAAAAATATAACATTCTTTTACTACGGAAAAGAGAACTTCCACTAGAACCACTGCTGGATTTACCAGGGGGAAGGGAAAGGATATTCCCAAGAAAAATTTTGCACTTAATTTTTACTCTATAATTGGGGCTTGAGGGTTGATAAACAGCTACGATTTTAAAAATTCACTAAATAACTAAATGAATAAGCTCAGCTAAGCCTACAACAGACATACCTCTGTTCACTTAACGAGAACAAGCTAAATAGAGAAATTGTCGTCACGACTAAGCCTCAAATAACAAAGTCTACCTCTCCTATTACTATGATTATAAAATCCATACCTTTCTTCTATCGAACTCGCTATATCTGAACTTTAAAAAAGGAAGAAATAAAGACTAGCACTCAAACAAACTAAGACAAGAGGAGTTTTACTTAAGTGCAAGCTACAATGAAGACAGTAGAACAGTAACTCACTTTAGCCCTGAATGAGTAGAATCAAAACTTCGACGAAAAGATAAAAGTTTGTTATCGAAATGTAATGTTATTCGACTTCTATAAGTGCTGTGAGGTCAAGCGTTAAGGGGCAATGCAATAAAATAAAGCTTGAATCTATACAACGCTTACCTTTCTTCATCCTGTAAGGCTCCAATGCTTGGAGAAAAGATTAGATTTACGAAATATGAAGTGAACATTAAATGGGGAAGTGCGCTAAGTTCCTAGTGGGCCTACCTTTCATCAAAAAAAGCCAATGAGGGCCTTTAGAAAAATGGGAAGAGAAATTGAGGTATATTTACAAAATTCTAAGCAAAAAATACGACAAAATTAAGAGACAGCGTCATACCTTTCCCTATCAGGTGCGAGTCCAAGCCCCATGCCCATAGAAAAGAGAGTGAAGAGGTCATTTTGATTCATACCAGAGAGACCCCGCATTCCAGTGAAAAGATCGGAGATACCTCGACCCGAACGAGCTGAAGCCAGGAGACCTCCAGGAGTTAGGCCAGATGTAGTAGCGGTGCCGACCAAGGGCGAAGGTGGTGTATTGATGTACTTATTGACCTATTAAAGATGGAGGTACTAAGCGGTTTAGGCATGAAAAGGTGATACACCCATCCCATAATTGCCTCAATGACTCAAAGCACATAAGCCATGCCAACCACCTTATCATGACCCAATAATTCTTTAGCACGACCCGAGTTGTTGAATACTAACGTTCTTCTCAGAAAGTTCCACTCCTTTCTACTGCTTGCCCAACATAATTCTTGGCCTTCTTATTTGAGGATTGTTGAACTCCATTACCCTTGGAAACTTCTATGGTTGGTTTGTCAGAGCACCTAGAATAACTTTAATGTTGGTATAACTGTTACTTTAATTACATCAAATACACTGAATAAGAAAGAGAAATTTATACAAAAAAACGACAGACTAAATGGAACATCTATATAAAAATGAAAAGGAAAAGAAATCCAATAGATCGACTAATTGATAAATGAATGAAACGGTTAAAATAATACCAAATGCCGATTAAATTCCGCCAGTTAAATAAGGCAGGTATAAACAAGCCTTCAAAGGGAAGAACTTCTACGTATCGAAGAACAAATCAGAACAGATGAAAAGCTCATTGAAACAGTTACAAGCAGGTGGAAAGTAGTTGCATACTAATACAAAAAAGTATAGTAGAACCACTTTCTATGTCTTAATATAATTTATGCAACTGTGTGTTGTCAAAGGGCGTTGAGAACTTGCAAAAACAAATATGAATCTGCTGGAATTTGCTTCCTCGTATTCGATCCTCATATAAAAAAAGCAAAGAACCCATAACAAAAAAACTCGGAAAAATTAATTAGATTCCATAATCCAACAATTTGTACGATATCAGTGAACAGGTGCTGTCTCCTTCTCATTCTTATTTAATTCCTTACGGTGTTTAAGGATTGAAATCATAATAAGCATCAAGCAAAGCCTGTTGTCGGCAGAGTCCTTACTGAAGAATCCTGAGGCTTTAAACAGCTCTCCAGCAAACAATCATTACGTGGAGTTAATACCGTTTAACAGGAGCTTCAGCACACGACGAATACGGATGTGTAATTATTCTTGTTTTCTAATTGGCAAGGCTTCCATGTCTCCTCTGAATTGCTCTGTGATTTAAATTCGCTCGACTTCCCCATTTGCATTATTAACCTATGCATCACAACTTATGATCTACCAGCAATAAGGGGGCTTAAATATTCAGAAGTTGGCTGATCTGCACAAAACTAAAGTGGACAATTTCGTAAATGCCTCACTAACGTCTTGGTCTATTTTCTGCGCTTTGATGTTGCTGGTAGAAGATAAAATAGCATAGCATTTATGCATATATCGGAAACTAAATTGTCACTGAACGGTAACTGATAAGAGTTGGTGGTGGTCCAAATTCTAGCGGTTGTAGCTCCTTACCAAAGATCAAAATTATTCATGTAAATCTTGAATTCTTAGTAAACTTCGTATCATGACATCAATTTTAACAAAGAAACTGAGAATGGGCATACGGTTTCACAAATTTGGCCATCATTGCTGGCGTTTGGTTCCTGCATCCAGAGGAAAAAGCGTCTATGAGGTGCACTGAGCTTGAGTACATAAACTCTACCCGTTTTACATTGAGGCACAGGTTTGAACTCGGCTTCTCGTGGCACAAGAACAAAATTGTCCTCTATGAGACCGGTGCGTCGATCAAACCAACAGAAGTGAACGCTGTAATCCCCTGTGGTCTGGTAGAGATAGGCATAACCTTTTCTCGCATCGGCCTGCACCTGGTTATCAGCATTCATTGTCATCTTTCCCGCCTTGAATTGAAGAAGTGGACGTGCTTGGGGTTTAGAGGTTTGACGATCAAATAGACCCGAACTCATTGTCTTCTTTTCTAGACATATAAACAGGGATAAATTGAAAATTAGTAAAAAGAGATACTAAAAGTGATTGGGAGCAGAAATGAATTAAAACAGTTATATAAGAAAAGCAGTTAGTTCCAACAATAAGATGTGAAATTGCGCAAAGGGGGATTAAATCAGACCTTACACTTCCCCCTTATAGAAAGCTTTAAGACTGCAACATATGTATACTGGAACTTTAAAAAGGAACTGTGTGTTAATAGATTTGAAAAAAACCCCAGTGTAAAAAAACAATGATCTTACTAAAAACACCGATATGAAAAAAGAGAGTACTTTGACAAATAAGCGAATACTTTTAAGAAGATATCAAGTAAGAATTCAGTTGGAGAAAAATGAAATAAGCTGTCTCAAGCTAGAGAAATCGAGAGAATGGAAGAGAGCGATTCTGTTGAAAAATTTAATGCCAATTATTCGAATTAAAGACGGTATATGACAATATTCAACACAATAGAACATCAATAGAATTGTTATTCAGAAGCCATTTAAGCACTACAGACAAATAGTAAAAGATAAGCAGTTTAATCTGAAAGAGAATTAAAAATTAATGGGAACGGATACAAGTTCAGTTGAGGCAAATTAATCAAGTAACTGTTTAAAGACTAGAGGAGCTAGGACATGAAAAGTTTTATTGACCAGAAAAACATAAAAATCCTCTGACAGGCTATGAAATTGAGCAATTTCGGCAGATAAACTGACAAAAGAGAACGGACTTAATACTAATGTCTCGTAAATTGTGCCAGATTTTTCAAAATTCAAGAACTGAATGCAGCAAAGATTTAAAAGATACTTTTAGTGAGAACGATGTGTTTAAGCAAAGTAATGGAAGATCAAGTATTGCTTTAACAGCAAAACATAATACTGAAAAATGTATCTCATGAAAGTAGAAAATTAAAATAACAAGTGTACACCAGTCCACAATTGAATAAAATATAATAATATAAGCGTAGAACACTTAAAATTTGATTTTGTTGAAAACCTGTAAGATTGGCATTTAAAAATGGAGATAAATGTACGCTAATTTACAAATTCGACAAACTTTTGATAAATCAGCGAACTCCGCGTGAGCTCAACAAAAATACAAACTGAACAAATCGCACAATTAAATGGCCAATGTAATTGGCTGGTTGATTATACTGATGGTTGACAAATTTGGATTGTTGGCATTATATTCATTAAAAAAATTGTAACAACTGTTTCAAGATACTATTTAAGTTAATTTAAAATTGATTTTTTTAATTGTAATAAATCAAAATTATGCAGATTATTATTTTTCTAAAATATATTGATTTTTATGTTTATATTGAATGTACGAATAGCAAACTCATAATTAATTTCCCTATTAAGGTTTCATAATTTAAGTCTCTCTATAAAAAGTTTTTTCATTGGTACACATTTTAGCGCTCATGTCACTAGCAAATATCATAATTACAACGAACTAATATGATTCCAATCCGAATAGAATGCCTCTCCTTCTGTTGTCAAGAAGACTTAAATAATATCTTATTCATATTGCATTGAAACTTTAAAAGAGTTAACTGATTTATCGTTTGGATATTTTTCAAACTTTTGACCTTCGCAATAATGAATTTGATCTTCTTTCTTTACCTGAAATCACTTAAATTATTTGTTACGAATTTGCAATAACGTAAATTAGCCTCTGAACGGAAACTTGAAAAGCAACACAAACATGATAATTTACACATGTTCGAAATTATATACTTGTATTTATTCCTATTGCTGGATGAACACTAAATAAAGTGTTACATCTTCGCCCACACTCCCTCTTTACTACCGCAATGAATTTTAGAAGTTTGTTGATGCTCTTCAAATATTTCGGTTGATTTGGTGACATAGGTGTTTGGTTAATTAATCTACTAACTTATTTATTATACCACACATTTAGCCAAGGTAACCCTTCATATAGTAAAACATGGGTTTCATGACTTTATTTCAAATTCTTTAAATACATTTTTATGACCAACTTCTCATAACACACCTTCTTATCACCCACGACACTAGTTATCCAATATTAATATTATTTCTTGTTCATACTAATTTTGGATTATGGCAACTTGTATTTGTAACTAATGCAATTAATTTTGCGATTTAGTCACTTGGTGACTACATTGTGGTAGTTGCTCATCTCATCATCACTTGATTTATATTTTATTTATAATCATCGTCTCCATGTGTTAATATGCAATAGATATCTTAAATATTAATAATTAGATGACGAACTGGAACAATATGGCGTCGGTCGGTTTTGTGCATATAACGCATTTAATGTGGGTAGAAAATGTTGGCTGACATTATATCATAGAATAGAGCAAGGATATATCTAAGGTAGAATAAATTACACAAAATAGATTTTAACTTCCTTTGTTCATATATTTCTTGAAATTGTGTTACTCGAAACTTTTCAATATTTTTAAATATGTAATAGGAGTCATAAAAATGAGAATCATTAATTTTTCATGAAACAATGGATTTAAAGGAGAAATCTCAATATATTCGAGAAAAATTATGCTTCGTTCGATTAGGTAATTTTTTCGCCTAAATTTGATCCTGCTTTTAATAAAGTATAAAAACAAAGAGGATTTCAAGAAGAAGGATTAAAATGGGGAAAACAAAGAATCATATTTAGAAGAATTAGGTTGAGTAAAATATTATTTTTATGAACAATTGTTAGGGATATACACGGGCTCATCCACAAAGTGTACGTGCTTCAGGTCGCACCTCATTAAAAAACAGAATTATTTTGATCGCTTTGCATATTGTCTTCAAATTTTGTCACATAAATTCTGCTACAGGTGTGTTAGGACCAAACATAATGAGAGAAACTGTTCTCGGTTAAGTAGACAACCGATCAGAGCAAAATTTGTTGTACAACAATGCGTACTTAAGAAATTGTCCGTTGAGGATAGGAATAAGTGATCTGCTTGTCATCGCTGAGGGTAGATAATAATCTAGCAACTTAACTATATATTCCACATTTGGTAGATTTGAAGATGATAATTTTAAGCAGAACGCTAGGGGAATCTGATTTTACCAACTGAGTAGGAGTGACTGGATAAGGGATCTCAACCAAATGGCTACGTTAGTTGTATTCTCCCTAACAAGACTATCCGCATTCACTGGTTCGACAATAGGAGACTGCCAAGTTTCCTTCTCGTCGCTGGAATGGTTAAGATCGGGCTGACAGATCTTCCCTAGTTCTATGAGGTTGGCATTTTAATTCACAGCTCAGATCGTCTTACCTCAGATAATAACCTTGAATCGTTTCGGCAAGTCGCATAGTATCACCAGAAGAATTAATTACTTTGTAAGGAACAGTAAATAGGTTGAATTTTCCTATCTTTTCCATACCCCAGGGAGGAGATTGATGAAAGCAAAACTAGCATCTACCTGCTGCTCACAAGGTATTCAATAAATACACATGCTCTCCAGGATTTTGGCTTACCTTCATTTGTGAATCATAGCCTTGATGTTCAATTTCTTTGCGAATTGCTTCTTCACATTGACGTTGGGAGGAAGGGAGAGATCCAAAAGTGTCGCCGCAAAGTGAATACCCGAAGCTCGAGTTCCATTAATAAGTTCGAGTGGCTAGACTGATAAGCTTAAATATGCCATCAAAATTATGTACCTTGACATTAAATACCTTATTGAAGAGAAATAGAAATCTGAGCTATGTCTCGAAAAATAAGGATTATAGTAGGCCTTTTGTTGACGTTAAGAAATTCATCGTAGTCGTGAATTTTCCCACTGCTGGTGAGATTACGAACTCCAAAATTGTGCTGTTCGATGGCGTTGCCATGATAAGTATCTGCACTTCCAGTGGTCAACTACAACTTAGCCTCCCTAGGTGATATACTGGCTACCAAAACAAAAGCGATCTAGTCATAATATTTCAATACAAGACATATTTTGAATAGAAGGCCATTTTATGCTCACTTTCCTAATGTAATGAGGATAAATTCGCTTAGATTCCTTTAGGAATCAAAATTTAAAAATAAAGACATGGTAGAAGACTTTTTGGCCCATTTTTACAACAACAACACCTACGATTGTACACTTAGAATTATTGAATTTCATCTTTATCCCCGTTTTTGACAAAATTGGGGGGGGGGGGAGGTGGTCAAATATTTTAGCTAAAACCCCAGAAACTAGGGCTCTTCGCCTTTCGCGCATCGGATTATCGATTATTGGATTCCCAAACTCATACCAATCTGCGGAGAAGCCGTTGCTGCAATTATCGACAAACCACGCAATCAAGCACTTACTTAATTACTACGACACAGTAGTTTGAACTATGAGACTTCTCCTTTCGTCTACCTTGAGTGTGAGTAGCTATGGCTCCAAAAAGGAAAATTGAGAAGCTATGAAACGCTCGATATGTTTTGAATGTATCGTAATACTAGGCTAATTGATTATTTATTGTCTGAAGATTAGCAACAATAATGTCATATCCATCCGATCAAATAATCCCCTTAAAAGCTAACGATAGGGTGACATTTCCTTCACATAGCCTTAGGACATGAATGAAATGGTAGTATCCTCGTTCTCTGAAGCAATATCTCCACAAATTGCTAGCCTAATAAATCGCACCTGTTTTGTCATTTACCCGTCAATGAACAACGAAGTCAAACCCATTCAGCCGTCCTATAGTAACTTTTGAAATGATATAGGCTTATCAAAGAGCCGCAATTCATTAAACTGAATAATAACACAGGATTAAGCAAAATTTCTCCATTTCCAGTATATTTTGTTCATCAATAACAAGCCATTTTACTTCGCTTAACAGTTACGGTTAGTTAGAAATAACCAATAAAAGATCAGAACTATTGCTTTAAAATATTCTTCTCATTTTGCCTATTTGAAATAATCAGGATGGTCCTTCCTCAGTATCACCTTCTCCCTCTCTGGTCCCCCTCTAACTTCTATACTAAGTTCCTGAGATACGTCTGTTCGACCCAATTCGAGGTCAAAGTCTAATGTCTCCAATAATGCCCAGGAAAGTGATAAGTGATGCAGCTCCACCGTGCAGCTCCTGCTGGGATTACAACTCATTCAAGCAATTACATCTCCAGACTGATCCGTTCACAAAGAATCACGCGTGAACAGAAGACACTTTTGAAGCCCATGTAATTCGAACTTATAAAAAACAAAATTGTTGTAGAGAGGAAGAGAGAGAGAGACTTAATTTTTAAGAATGAAAGTTTTAAACCACTATATTCAGTTGTCTATCTACCGAGATATTCCGTTAAATAGGAAAAACAACCTCGTAATTTGATGCTACTTCTACATTAAAGTGAAGGAGACACAAAAACTGCTAATATCGTCAGGAAAACAGATACTCAATAGCTTGCATCTCTTTATTTACCCACTGACAATAACTGTGCCAAGTTGGTTGAGCTTCACTTCTGTTTATGAACGTCCGTAATCCTTAACGTGTCCCATACCCTGATTCAAGTTATTGGCCTTCAGGATACGTTGCTGATTAATTACACCCTCTCATTCATTATCTTCACCCGGTATAAATGTTACCTTTCAATTGGTGGAATCGAACGGTATAAGAACAATTCAAGATCATGTAAATACAGCAATTTAATTTCCTTAATTATCAATGAGAACTATTTATTCGCGCAGGAGTGTCACTTGGCGAAGTGACGACTCTAAAAATAGTAACAGGAGAATTGGTGCAGGAAACAGGCAAATACGCACACGCACAAGCACGCGATTGAAAAGGTGAATCAAAAATATGGACTCGATCAATCCATAAGAAAAGAGTTGATCTAATCATTAACTCTTCGATGATCTAATAACTGTTCTCAGTAGATTTGACTCCTTCAACATTCCACGGAAGATTGAATCTGGACGTGAGGCAAGTTCAGATGGTGATCCAATTTCAACCAATTGACCAGCATCGAGCACCATAATTCTAAAACAGGAAAATACTCAATTTGTAAACCGTTCACTGCTACCTATAATTTTTCAGTAGCGGTGATTAACCTGTCGTAATCGAGGATGGTATTGAGACGATGGGCAATTGTGAGTACTGTGCTATCAGCGAATTCTGTTCGGACGGCTTGTTGAATAAGGCGATCAGTGTGAGGATCTACAGCAGCGGTGGCTTCATCCAACACCAGAATCCTCGAACGACGAAGCAAGGCACGAGCCAGGCAAATTAGCTGACGTTGACCTTGACTAAAACAAATCAAAATGTGCGACATGATAAAAACAACCAGCAGTTAGGGAATTGTCAGTCTTGAATATCGGGTCTACCTGAGATTGCCACCTCCTTCGGAAATTGGCATATTAAGGCCCTCACTTGATGTCTCATCAACAAAAGAACGAAGATTTGCTGTTGACAAAGCCTCCCAAATTGCCTCGTCAGTGTAGTTGCTGAATGGATCTAGATTGAAGCGAAGGGTGCCGGAGAACAGCACTGGATCCTGCAGGAAAATTGCATATAACGAGTTATATTAAGCACTTAAAATAGGGAAGAGATTATGCTTAAATGGGTCACTTCCTTTTAATACCTAATCCTTGAAGAGAAAAACCTTTCAAGCGGAAGTTAAAGTTCTAAACTAACGATAGCTAATATAATCTCGTTCGAATTATTGATCTGGTAGTGCTATGGATGTATTCAATACCAAGAAAACTTTCTTGTGAATATCACGAACCTGTGGAATAAGAGTAATTCTTCCTCGAATATCGTGAAGACCAATCTCAGAGATATTAATTCCATCAAGACGTATTTCTCCTCCCGTCGGTTCAATGATTCGGAAGAGAGCCAAAACCAGTGAAGATTTGCCCGAACCGGTTCGTCCAACTATTCCAATCTGAAATGAGAGGTAGATGAGGGGAAGAATTCATTACAGAATGGAATATGACTTTATTAACTGAGAGATTACTTTTTCACTTGGTTTAATAGAGACTGAAATTGATTTGAGAACAAGGT